CTCTTTTCTACTGTATCAGCATAAAATCAACTCTTAAACTACTTCCGCATTTGCAGTAATTATAGATATGTATGTATTCACCATCACTGTATACCCATACCTATAATTACTGCAGATGAGAAAGCTGGCTGGCTTGGATGGGATCCAGCAAACAACCCCCTCAGGATCAAGCATCACGTTGAAGTTTGGCCGTCAATACGGCCCCTTCTGTTTCAAATAAATTAAATGAAAACAAATAAAATGGAATCTTCTAAAGGACTTGGTGTAGTTGGTTTTGTTTCACATGTCCAAGTAAATATGACCCCCCCCGCATCATCTGGTTCCTCAGGGGACACTTGACCATGAATCGTCTCTCCCTACAAAAAGCAGAAATTGAGTACCTCCTAACTAGTTAACCCTCTATACCATGGCACGTAAACAGTAAAGCAGTCAGGTGCTGGTGCGAATGCCGCGTACATGAAGGGAACTTTTGACAGTTTCTCTCGCATAGCCGCACCGTGGACCTCCCAACCGATACCTTGGACTTCGAAATGTGAAACAAAGTGCAAAAGAGCACGGAATGGGGAACTCTCGGAAAAGAAATGCTCGCTCCCTTCCTTCACCCTTATATGATGGCTCGGGCCCTGTTCGCATACTTCTACCCGCAGGGCACATCCCGTCGTTAGGGAAAAGTTTTGCAAATCACGCCCCCCACAAAATAATTCCTCATCTGGTGCGACCCCCTTCCTGATCCCCATCTTAGATACCATCTTCCTGAATTCTCCCACCCTCGCATTTCTGGAGTTTTTCCCAAAAACCTGCTGCCGAGCAGGGGTGACGAGGGGGCGGGGGGTTGCGCACTGAAACCAGGAGAAACCGAGAAAAGTCAACAAAAGGAAACATTTTTCTCAAAAACCAGTACCCCTCTCTCGTCCGACCAGAACTATGACCCCTCGCTGGGATCCCATCCTACGACGTGTCCTGCTTGCTCAGGGTCAAGTCCTTCTCCCAACGCGACCCGGAACTATCACTGCCTCAGTTCCTTTGGATGACTCCACCACGAGTATAGAAGCTCGTGGCCACCCGGGAACCTCTCCATATGCACCGAATGGCATGAGAATGACAGGGATATCGCTTGAGTTTTCATTGTTTCTGTTGTTTCTTGCTCTTTGATCTTAGTCCAGCCTATATTCTTCTTTAATCTGTCGTGAGAGGAGACAATGATTATAACTAGTAACGGTTCTGCTGCCTTGTTCTCTAACATAACTACCACTCATGACATCATTAGCAAATTCATTCTATTCATTGAAATGCTTGTTTGATCTTTCGTTCCAATTTCCGCCTTTCGTTTAGGTTTCCCTCTAAGTCGTGTAGGTTTCCCTTCAAGAAGCCGAAGCATGAAAATCTTCAAAAGCAATCGGAAGCATTCTGTCTTTGAATGTTGACTCCACGTGATCACTGCCCTTCCAAGCATGCGACTAGTATTTCATGGAATTTCCCTAATTCTTTATGCTCCTGTAGCTGACGACATACAGGGGGGAGGGCAAAAAAGACTCTTTCTTCCTCGACTTTCAAGGCGATATAAGTTACACTTTGTCAATCTGATTGGGAATTTTCCACCTACCATATTCAACAGCACATTGTACACTATCATGATACTCGCACAGACCTTCTGGACGGGGAGCGCACATTCGAAAGATTCTCTTCGGCATCGTTCGGTGCTGAGTTAAGCGATGGTACGTTTATTTCTCGCCACTGTTAGACCACCCTTGTTGACCTTTCAGCTCGGACCTGAGTTATCGAGGAGGTTTAGTTCAGGTGACACACTTGGATAATGCGTCTATCGTCAGGTTCTCAACGCCCTTCAACCAGAGAATAGGCGGGGTTTAGCCAAACGCCCTTCGTATTTTCATGTAGCTAGTCACCCTCCTGACTGCAGTAACGAAGTTTCCAAGGAAAGGTGCAGGCGACAACAATACGGGCAGGATATTCTTCCTCGGTTCTGGTCTACTGATAACCGTCAGGATTTCATCAGCTCTGGTCCAAAGAAACATTCCCGTTTCCAGTACTCCTCGATCCCATACCTTCCACACGCGCCTTGGCGACTGGGAAGGAAGATGTTTACCTCGGACGTAGCGACAGTTGATCGGTATGACTAGCATTGAATGGATCTTGATGTTGGAGGTCTTGCAGATCAAGAGTACTGGTCTCCAGGTAGCTATCCATGGGTGACTCCATTCAAGAAGTTCCGCAGCTGTTTGGAGGTGACGTGAATTCCAAGGCCTTCTCCAGTCAGGCTGCGATTGGAGATGACTTCATATTTTGGTGTACATGAAGGTGATGGGCGAGAGCCTGCTCCTGCTTATCGAGGAACATCTTGGGTATCTTCCGCCCTGGTACCACTTCTTCTGTCTGGGCTGCGAAAACTTACTGATATGTGACTCGGCCGAAGTGTCTTTTTTGCCCCCCCCCCCCATGTATATTCCTTCTTAGTCTACAGTGAAGCCCCTGAGCACATCCCCACCTTTTCATTGAAATAAAACACTATTAAGAATTCATGAGCTCTCAAAAACCACTGTGATGAAAGAAGCGAGCAACTTTGGGAGTATTCTAGAATACCGAGGCAGTAGAAAGAAGACGGAGAACATCCGTCTCATTCCTCCGATTTCGCTGTCCTTCCTGCCTTAATTTGCTGCTCAGACACTTGGACACTATGAAAGAGCAGTTCTCAGAGTATCCCACTACACGCCAGTGATAGAGAGGAAGCGGTGTTCTGCTCTCGGCTCACGTTCGAAGATCAGGGAAGTTCACCAAGGTTCCAAAGATTAGATAGGCCGAGCAGGTCATACGATACGAGTACGACCAGTGTGCCAGAGCGATTACCGACTGGATTCCTTGAAATGTCAAACGAAGATCAGGACGAGCGCCTACGCTATGGTCAGACTTCTTCGTGAAAGCTCTTAATATGATGTTCATCGTGTCCCTCGAGCAGAGAGAGTTCATTGGGCAACTCTTGCACGTTGCAGGGACGAATGGAGACGTTACTGGCGCCCGCTCGAGCAACTCGTTGATTGAGGCACAGGTAGTGCAGTAGGGTATGTGGCAAGAGAATCGTAATTCGCCGCGCCAGTGGCGTCGCGTGCGACGTCGCGCCCGCTAATGACGACGATTTTAGGTGGTATTGGTCGAGAATAGACAATGTATGACCAAAAATAGACATAAGTGTCTACCATGTCCTTGTCTACATGAAATCCGATGCTCCAATCGAAAGGTAGTGCAAATTAAGGAAACGTCGCGCCCATTGCCGCGCGCGACGAAGCGGCAATTGGCGATTCTCTTGTCCGTCTCTCGTGCAGTTGATAGTGTGACCAGCGCTCTCCCGGTCTTGGGGATTAGGCGGGGCGATGAGACGTGCTGGTGCACGCACTTTAGTTGCTAATTTGGTACTTCACAAACCGCGACTGACCTCCTTCAGAGGCGCCGTACTCAAGAATAGCAAGAAATATCAATTATTGTTTATCATATTTATTATTCACTTGAACATACTTGCTCTGTAAGTCCCCTAACAAGCCGTACAGGTCCGAGCGACTACATCTACGATCATGATTTAGCAGCATTTTTTCCTATTTTCATTTAACTTGTAACTAGTATTGTAGTCTCCGTAGGCTAAGGAAACATACTGATTCAGTACTGTAGTATTTCCTGTGCTTTAAGGCTATAGCATAAAAGCCGACGAGCTGAAAGGGTAAGAGTGGGCATCGGTGACGTAATGGCTAGCGCACTCGCCCGGTCAGCTGTAGACGCGGGTTCGAGTCCCGCCTAGGATCTTACTTTTCCCCATAACTTGGCATCCTTGTTGTTGTATTCCGTTCAATTTCGTTATATTCACAGTGCTCGAGCTCGCGGAGATCCTGCAGGCTGCTTTTCTGAAGTACCTTATTGCAGAATGCTAGCAGAACTCACATCACGAGAGTCTCTTGAAAAGGCTATCGATCAAACGTCAAATGACGTCAATATGATCTACTTCCCGAACTCAATCCGAGGCTTTCTGGACGATCGGTGGGTGTTATCGATTTTGTTGACCTTATTGATTTTATTTTCGTTTTGATCTCTCATTTAAATGAGACGATTCAAATATCTAACGCGTATTTCAGCTTTCCGGAATCACCAATTCGAGTATTTGTCTATCCAGTACGTGGTCCAAGAAAGTACTGGTTTATGATCAAGGATAACGAACACATCAAGTCAGTCACTAGTTACCAGACAGTGGATCGATAGTATTTTCAGAGAAGAAAAAAACGTTTTTCAGGCCATACTGCATGATCGCACAAACAGACGGCACTACTCTCGAACGACGAGAATTCTACGATTGCCTCCGAGAATTCAGGTAACGTCCGAACTTCTTCCAACTTCCGTGACCACCTATGAAGAGCTCCGATAAGGAATTTTGGAATCCGTTTTTCATTTTCTTCGCCCCTACGGTCGATATTTCTAAAAAACCGTACAGTCTTGTTCGCTGGGGGCGTGTCAGTAGGATATACATACATGGTGGCGTGCCTTTTTTCCTTTCGGCGCGAGAAAACTGCTATCATATCGTCCATATCAGTCGTTTTCCTCCAGTATCTCCCGCTTATCTGCTTCAGCCAACTGATTGAGAATAGGCCTTCCTAAAAACGAAAATACTGTAATTAACAAATCCGTTTTCCGATTTCATGCCCGCTATCTTTTTGGGTGCTATTGCTCTTTCTCTCAATCAAATCGCTGCCCTTCGCACTGTTCTAATAGTTGACGGGGACCAAGAGGAGGCGTGGCGAAGTGCGGTTCGCTGCGCTCTTCAAGCCGACCTCGCTCGTGGACTCCGGTCGTGTGCGCTCTACCAGGCCTGATCCTGGGGGATGAGAGTGTTTTTGTCGACCCGCCGCGTAGCCCTACCGACCACAAGAGCGCCCAAGTCTCCAAGAATAAAGTTTCCTCGCATGTCCTCGGCATACATTCAACAACCAGCTTTCAGGGTGAGAGCATTCGGAGCGCTGGACAGCAGTCGGGCGCATTTGATTATTGGCAAAGAAGAACTTGTTAAAGCCGTAAGTTGTTATGTCTTCTTAAGTAGCACTGTGGTAAAACTATAGAGTAACTGAGCTGTATTCAAAGCGTTATTACAGTACACGTGTCTGATGCGTAACGTGGTTTGCGATTTGGAAGAGAACAATTTGAATATGGAATTGTTCTATATGAATGAAAAGCAATGCAGATCAGCTCTGAATGAGAAGATTCCATTAGCTCCGCTACCAGATGGCTACTACTTTGACGAGGTTTGTAATCAGTAACTTGTAGAAACTACAAATTTCGTTCAACACCCAACACTCCAATACTGGAAGCCCTACGATGTTGGAGTAGTGCTATATTCTTCACAAAATATAATAAATAGTTTATTAGTTAAATTTTTTCAGGTGGATCCTATTCTTGAAGGAGATCTAATCAACAGTACTTGGCAACACGCTCAAGAAGGAGACCTCGAGCAGACCATGTAAATATTCAGATCAGCTTTTCATGAACCAAATTAATGACTAAACATGCTTTGGCTACTATCCAAGCAGAGTTGCTTAAAACGTTCCAGCTTTCAAAAAGAAAATAAGAAAATGTTTTGATGTTACCTAGAGTATTGTTTTGAAAGCCATCCCTAAAATCTGAATTATTGAGTATACATTTTTAGAGCAAAATTGGTGCGATTACCGTCAATATGTGTGCGCCATAATGGTGCAGCGGTCGCGTTTGAAATGTTGGATCCGGCCGGTTTCTTCAACAATCAATTCGTATTTCCTGAACATCGCCGAAAAGGTATTGGAGCAGCGATCGAGTCGAAACTCATTCAACGATGTGTAAGGTTGGTTTTTCATGAAAGAAACTATGAATACTCATAGTTGTAACCTACCAAGGGCTATATAGTGAGCACACGTAGAGTGGCTGAATTGTAATGGGGATGGGTGTAATGGTCGCGTGAGTACGATCCTCTCTCTCAAAAAATCCTCTTACGACCTCACTCCCCCATCTTACATGCCACCATTTCAAACTCTTCCAGCTTCCCACGAAATATTCCGAAAGCTTTTTCCGGTTCCCCCAAAATTTTGTGCCTCAAAAAAGGAGCCTCCTCCGATTTACCATGTGAAGCGAGTGTTTTATAAAACTTTTGCGGCCTCACAAGCTAAGAGGGCGAGGAGGGGGAGGGGATATCGCACGTAAAATGGAGACAATCATAAACCGGATATTTTTCACGAAGCTCTGGAAAATTCTGCCTGTTAAGAACCTTATCTCACCACGGCCCTCGAACAGTTTCTCTCAACAGTATTGTCCTACAGCCCAACCTGGTGAGGCTGAAACTCGGCAGATGAGAGTTTTATCACGGCCCAAGTGCATCCGCAGCACGGGCAAACGGCAGCGCCATGGGAATTTTTTCTTATATTGACTAGCACCAAATGGGGCAAGTATCGGCGACCGGGGGGGGAGAGGGATGTGCTTCCGCTATGTGCCTTCGCTAAGAGTTTAACAACGTTTCACCGGTGACGGCCGTAAGCCGTAGTACGATTGTAAGCAGTGAAAGTGCAGAATCCCCTCCCCTGTCGCCGAACTGGCGCCCGATTCAATGGGCCATGTCAGTGGTTTGACCCGGCTGCGAACCTTTTTCCTATTGACCGACTTACGGCTCGGGCGTTTGATGGAGTTGTGTGGAAAAGCGGGCTGGGCGCCGCGCCAAAACCCACGTGCCGCGTTGACACCGCCCGGATTATGTTAGCAAGTGTACTTCTTGCTTGGTCAAACATGTGCAGTGCTGGCGTTTCGCCATCTTCAGCCTCAGTTCTGACGAAAACAATTTTTTCACCTTCATGTTAGCTAATATTCATATTTCATATCGCCCATTATTATTTGTTTATTTATCAGAGCAGACTTTATTTCAGTGCCGGCATGAAACCATTCAAGACGGTCTCACGACAGAATCGTTCCGTCCTCTCGGCCACCTACACATCACCGTACTGGACCCAATGGAAAGAGAACGACCGACCAGTGGTTGTGATTTTCCAGGAGTGGGCGGTCCGTGGTAATTAAGAAAACCGCCAAAAACTCGGAAAACTCAGAGCGAAAGAAAAGCGGATCTCTGCAATTCGACAAACCCTTGGGCACCACAGTGGCAAACTACTGAGCATTTTAAGCTTTATTTCGTGTCATTTTGCGATTTTTGCAACATCCTTTATTTGATTATTGAATATTTGTATTTGTAGTAGGTAGTGTTGTAGACACTGCATTAGAATATGTCATGCTTACTTGCTAGTCAGTGTTTACCTTAATAATTGTGGTAATTCACAACAGCGTTATTTATTGGTATACCTAGTAGTTACGATTGACGTATTGAGTGAGTAGTATTTATTCGCTGTATTACCTCTGTAATGTAATTTGTATTGGGGCAATATTTGTTTCTTGATCTCATTAGTGAGAGACGAGACAGGTACTAGAAAACTACAAGTACTATACAGAGAAGTGCATATTAGTGAAATGTTGTGTCGTATTTCACCTGAAAAGGAGAAGAACCGCTGAACGCCTCACAACATCTACCTCATAGAACTGATCCTTTGTTTGCTATGGAACTTTGTATAATAGTAAATTATTGTGATGTAGTAACTTACTTACTATATCCCTTCTGACAACAGTAGCGAAATAAAGCTTCGTTACGCTGACTTTGATACGTTGACAAACAGATTCTAAAAACGACATCCAGTCAGGGCTTACCATCCGTTGTGTGAAACCTGGCGTGGGACTGCGTTCATACTTGGCGGCAGCGTCGACGATCGCCTAGCAGCGTCCATTAGTATTCCGATTTCGGTAGCATCAGCGACCAGGAAAGTGTAGGTATCGATCTAGCGTCTGCCAGCGTCTATCAGCATCCAGCAGCGACCGGGAGTAGAGAGTATGGAGAAGTAAGGAGGGTAGCAATAGCTGGATTAGGCGTCGTGAAATTACAGCGTGTGCAAGCGCATCGCACGACTACATTGCACCGTACATTGGTACATTAAATTGTGCAATTCTGTGCTTTAGCAGTTGTGCGGTGCGGTTGCACACGCCGCAATTTCACGACGCCTAATCCAGCTGTTTGCTACCCTCCTACTTCCCCATACTCTCTACTCCCGGTCGCTGGTGAACGTTAGTGGACGCTGGTAGACGCTGGAAGACGCTGGACTGATGCCTATACTATCCTAGTCGCTGACGCTGCCGCACGCTCGGAACGCTAGTGGACGCTGGTAGACGCTGGTGGACGCTGCCGCAAAGTATGAACGCAGCCTGATTTGTACCGTTTTCACTACACGCTTTTGGTAATGCCATACAAAGCGAAGAAGTGTCTGATGGTAGGAATCCTTATGGTAACAAATATTTTGCATTCTTATAGTTTTCATGGACCTCTATTCGAACAGGCTTGGACCTTTTGTCCAGGCAAAGCGTGGCCAAAAACACATGCTGTTTGCTTCGAAAAACGAGAACCCTATTTTTTCCTACTACCGAATTCGATACGAACCTCCTGAAAGGGTCCTTTCCACGTACAAAGTGGAGGGATCCGCAGCAGCAACAGCACGTCACCTTCTCCGCTCAAGAGCGCAAGTGAACGAGGGCTGGACGGTAGTGGCACCCGTGTGCCGTCTCTGTACCCCGCCTCCGCTATCCTCCGGGTGCAACACATCTGCGATATCAGAATCCCATAGCTAAACATGCAGCCGTAAAGAACAACTAGTAGGAAGAGAGTTCAGACAAACATCGCATTCGGCTATGGTCAGGCTTGTGCCCGGCTGTACTGCAGCGCGGCTGGAGTGCGGAAACGACATTGCATCCGTATATCACTACCTTTCCAGCCCCGTTACCTTGCATTTTCGTGGGGAGAAAGTGGCTCATAATGCAGCTGTGGACACATTCATCCCGCACATGGCAAAGGCCATGATTTACAGAGGTGACTATACGGGTTGTCCTTAAACACCCTCTGCTCCTGTCCATGCTGCAGGGAAAAATCAAAAATGTCGAAGAAGTCGAACTCCGTATGTACGACGTCTTCTGCTCATGCTCAATTTGCTCAGCCAATTTGATCTTCTTAGAAGGCATTCATCATTCGAGAGAAAGATGGCGAAGAGTCACTCATGGCAATGAAGAGTTCCTCTTGAAATGAACTGCTCAGACGTTATTTCCATAACAAGCTGTGGTCGTATCCGCAATTTCTTACCAACAAACTAGACCAGCAATCCGGCAATTCACAAATAACCATATTGTACGTCTCATTGCGTTCACTACACTTGATATCACCGCAATCAGTCGGGTCGCAATCGGCGGACCCAGCGTTTCCGCCATTGGTTGTTTTATTCCTAAATCGACCGCTATCCGATCGCCATTGGTGAGCAACGCAGCCGGAGGCAGGCTCATCCCACCCTCCTCACGCCGTCCCAGACTGGCTTGGATGTTAGGCAGCGTTCATACTTCGCGACAGCCGCGATCGTCGGTACGTGGCAGAGCGCGCCCCAACGCTATTATGGACCGCTCGCTTGATAAATAAGGAATCCAACTTGTGAGACCTTCTTTTCTCTTAATAATGGCTACTAACTGATAACTTACGACTTTCTATACATAAGCGGATCTGGAATATGAGGTAAGGAGGTTTCACTTCTTTTTAGGTCGGGATAAGGCCAACTCCATTTCCTGGGTGAGCTTCTTTTTTCTTTTTTTATTGTTTCAATTTATACAAGCGCCTCAAAGTTCCTATCGTCTGAATTGTTCCAAGTTCCAAAACATTTATAGCTTACAGTGGGTTGCAAACAACAAAGAAAGAAAAAAACAGAAAGAAACTCACCTAGGAACCAAAACACTAATCATTTTACGCAACATCAACAGGTGAAAACGTTATAACCTCATGTATAAGCTCGACGAATGAAAAAAGAAACAATAAAAAAAACCTACCTAAATGAAGCTCTCACGCTTTTTGCTCATTTCTATCCTGAATCAAGAAAGAAAAGAAAACAAAAGCCATTAAGATGGGTTCACCTTTCTTTGTGAAATCAAGTTTCA